CCATAAAGTATAAACAGAAGGAACATTGTCCAATTCTTTTATGAGGCCACAGTTATCCTGCTACACAAACCACATAAAGACTCAGCAAAGAAAGATAGAGACAAATTTCCCTTATGAACATAGATGCAAAAGTTCTCTATAAAATACTTGTGAACTGAATCCAAGAACACATCAAAAAGATCATCCACCGTGATTAAATAGACTTTATTCCAGAGATATAAAGAACTAAAAAAAATTTGACATCAAAAAAACAAATAATCCAATAAAAATGGGGTACAGATCTAAACAGAGAATTCTCTATAGAGGAATTCTCTACAGAGGAAACTCAAATGGCTCAGAAATAATTAAAGAAATGTTCAAAATCCTTAGTCATCAGGGAAGTGCAAATCAAAATGACTCTGAGATTCTTACTCCTGTCAGAATGGCTAAGATCAACAGCACAAGTGACATCTCAGGCTGGCGAGGATGTGGAGCAAGGGAAACATTCCCATTGCCGGTGGGAGTGCAAACTAGTACAGCGACTTGCTGTTCAGCTTTCTATGGCCCCACACTGGAATACCAAAATGTTGTTGGTTGTTTTTGCTCTTTTGAGGAGCCCACCACCCAGCTCCCAAATAAATCACACATGGAGGCTTATTCTTAATTATAAATGCCTGGCCTTAGCTTTAACTAAATTATCCCATCTATATTTAGCCCCAGGGTTTTTTATCTTTCTCTATTCCTGTATGCCTTTTCTTTCCTTCTTACTTGGTGTCTGGCTATGTAGCTGGGTGGCTGGGCAGCTGTGTGGCTGGCCCCTAAAGTCCTCCTCCTTTCTCTCTCATTCCTTGATCTGTCTGATTTCTCCTATATATTCTGTCTGTCTGCCAGCCCTGCCTATCCTTTCTCCTGCTTTGCTATTGGCCATTCAGTTCTTTATTAGACCATCATGTGTTTTAGACAGGCATGGTAACACAGCTTCACAGAGTTAAACAAATGCAACATAAACAAAAGTAACACACCTTACAATAATATTGCCCAGCATCTACTATGGAAATCAGTATGGCGGTTACTCAGACAGTTGGCAATAGACCTACATCAAGACCCAGCTACACCACTCTTGGACATTTACCCAAAGAATGCACTATCTTATCACAAGGACACTTGCTCAACAATGTTTATTCTGGCTTTATTCATAATAGCCAGAAACTGGAAACAACCTAAACATCCCTCGATAGAAGAATGGATAAATAAAATGTGGTACATTTATAACAATGGCGTGTATTACTCAGCTGTTAGAAATGTGACATCTCAAAATTTTCAGGCAAATAGATGGAGCTAGAAAAAAAATCACACTGAGTGAGGTAACCTAGACAAAGAAAGACAAATATGGTATGTATTCCCTTAGAAGTTAATATTAGCTATTATGTAAGTGATACTAAAACTACAGTCTGTAGACTCAGAGAGGTTACACATAGAGAAAGGGAATAAAGATGGCACATTGATCTCCTTGGGAGGGGGAAATACAATACATTTTATAGGTAGGTCTAGGGGAAGGGAAGAAAGTAGGAAGACCAGGTGGGAAGCAGGAGGGGAGCGAGGATTGAGGGAAGGAATAAAAGGAGAAATGGCTAAAATTGAAGAGCATTTGAGGAGCAATATGGAAACCTAGTGGAAACTTTATATAATATACAAAGGCTAACCTAACCTAATGAAATTTCCAAACAATGAGGGAGACAGAATGCCAACTGGCCAACTCTTGTCACTAAACAAAGCTTACAGTACTGGGACTGGGGTTCATCCAATTGAGTTGCTGGCCAATAAGGCCCCATGGAAATCCCCAAACAACCCAGGATGTTGCCAAGACTATGGGTTGCTCTCCACAAACTGCCAGCAAGGCCCTATTGCTAAAGACAACACCCACATGAGTCATTGAACATGGAGAGGTCAAGCTGGTGCCTACATAGAACCTTCACCCCTAAGTTCTAGCATCTTTGGTGTGGGAAGGTACTATGCAGGCTACCAAAAGAGAAACATACACACCAACCCAGCCACAAACTCTTTGACTAAGTTGCTGTTCTGCCTGCAAGATGTGCAGGGACAAAGGTGGCACAAAGCTCCTGGGAGTAACCAACCAGTGTCTGATTTGAGACTTAAGGCCACTCCACGAGATGGAACCCAAACCCAACACTGCTTGCTGACCAAGAACCAGAGACTAGATAGCACAGAGACCTATGGTAAAACCAAAAAATAAAAATAAAACAGTCCAAAAAATGGAACAATAAAATTTGATATTCTAATGATATTCTGCTATCCTTATAAATTGGTGCCTTATTCAGCCTTCCTCCTGCAGCAGATGGGAACAAATACAGACTTGCAGGCAGACATTATGGGGAGAGAGAGAAGAGAGAGAGAGAGAGAGAGAGAGAGAGAGAGAGAGAGAGAGAGAGAGAGAGAGAGAGAGAGAGAGACCTTGGAACCCAGTTCTAAATGGGATGTCTCCATCAAATCCATCCCCTCAAAATTGAGGCAGCCCCACAGAAGAGGAGGCAGAAGGAGTCGGGAGACATGCAGGACAAAGGACACCAGGAGAACAAGGCTGTCTGAATGAACTGAGCAAAGCTCGTATGAAGTCACAGAGACTAAAGCAGCAATCATGAAGTGTCTGGACCGGACTGCACCAGGTCCTCTGCATTTACACCACAGCATTCAGTTTAATACTTTCATGGGACTCCTGAATGTGTGAACAAGTGGGTCACTGATTCTTCTGCCTTCTCTTGGGATCTGTTTTATTTCTCTTGGCTTGCCTTGTCCAACTTTTATATGATAGTTTTTGATCTATATTTTATTTTGTTAAAAATATTTAAAAAAAATAGGAACATTTTTATTCAAGTGTTTTATTTTTTGAAATTAAAATATAATTACTTCCTTTTCTACATTCCTTTCTTCCCTCCAGACCTTTCCATGCCTTCTGCTTTGCTCCCTTTTAAACTCTTTTTCTTAATTGTTGTTGTTACACACTCACACACATACACACATATGTATATCTGCACAAAAATGTAAATACGGCTTGCTCAGTCTATTTAGTGTTTTATATATATATATATATATATATATATAAACACACACACACACACACACACACACACACACACACACACACACACAGATTTCAGGGCTGGCCAGTTGTGTTGGATAACCAACTCAGAGGTTCATTTGAGGGGATAATATTCTTCTACTATCAGCATTCCTTAGTTACCTTCACTTACGTTTAGGATGGGGCCCAATGAAATTCCCCCATTCCATGATAGCATGTCTATTGGTGTTGGACTTGTTCAGATCTTAACACCACACCCTTGAGGTGAGTTATGTCTATGTCCAAAACAAACACAATATCAGGATGCAAGTAGGGACCAAGATTATAACATATTTAGTTGCTGCTAAGTAGCCATGTGTAAGAACCATTTTTCTTAACTTTTTGGACATTAGTTTTCAGAAGGGCTGGCACAAACAAACCCATGATGTCTACACAGTCTTCACAATTGGGATCTCCATGCTTCAGCTTCATATGCTCTAGGACGGCATACAAGTGCTACCATGCCCGGCATAATTTTATTTTCATTCTGACCACCACCACCTCTTATCTCTGAAGACTATTTCTCTGAAGGCATTGCAGATTAACCATCTGGTAGTTTGTTCTTCATTGTCCCATGATGCCAGAAAGATTCATCCTGGTTGGTTTGATTTACCCCTTGTTGGCAGAGAATGGATACATCAAGAGACGGACATCAGGGAGTTGGGAGCCAATGAACTCTTTAGGCCAAATAAAGCAACTACCACAGAGGAAGTGATTCGTGGGTCAGGCATACCTAACATCTATTCTGCTTGTCTTATGGGTAGTGTCCTAGCATCACAAGAATGCTGTTTAGATTCCTCTGTCAGAACTGTACTTCTGTAGAATATTAATAAATAGTTTAACTACAAGACTATTTACAAAAACACAACTATTGCCGGGCGGTGGTGGCACACGCCTTTAATCCCAGCACTCGGGAGGCAGAACCAGTCAGATCTCTGTGAGTTTGAGGCCAGCCTGGGCTACCAAGTGAGTTCCAGGAAAGGTGCAAAGCTACACAGAGAAACCCTGTCTCGAAAAAAAACAAACAAACAAAAAAAACCAAAAACCAAAAACCAAAACAAAACAAAAAACCAAAACCAAAAACACAACTATCAAGTAACAGACAAAAATTAGCCATAAATCTTTGCAAAACACAACCACCAACACTATAACTGTTTTTGAGAATTACTCCCATTTCAAAAAGAAAATGAACTGTAACTGGAGATGCTTTCAACCTGGTAAAGGATATCTATGAAAACGTCCTTAGAACATGACATCTAGTGATGAGAAATTGCATGCTTTTCCCCAAAATCAAAATTAATAAAAAGCCAATCCAAAAAAGACCAGAAAAAGAAATGAAAATTATCCAGTTAGGAAAACGAGAAGTGCTTTCTTCATTAGCAGACATAAAGTCCATAATCAAGCTACTTACTGTGGCTTGAATGGAAAACGACATCCACTGATTTGTTTGAAGGCTTGGTACTCAAATGAAACGGGCCTTTAGCTGGGCCTAGCTGGAGGAGATGGGTCACTGCAAGCACATCTAAAGTCTTCTTATCCCAGCCTATGTCTTCTTTCCCCTTCACTTCCTGTCTGCAGATGCAACGTAACCAGCCATTACACCTTTTCACTATGCCTATAACCGCGATGGAGTAGCAATACCTTCTTCACATTGATGGTGCAGGTCCCCCCTAACTGAAGTCAAAATAAAAATTTTGTCTACTCAGTTGCTTTATGACAGCATTGATCAAGGACACGAGACAAGTAACAAGCTACTAAATCTAATGGGTTTTACCATAGCCATAGAAAACAAGGCTGAAATTCAAGAGCTAAATATATTTTTATATACTAGCAACAAATAACCAGAAATCAAAACTAAAATGTAGCAATATAAGAGATGAAAAAGAAATATAACAGTAATTGTGGGATAACTGTATATTGAAAACTAAAATACAATGTGAAGATTAAAAAAAAACTTAAAAATGGAGAAACATGCTTTGCTCATAGATTGAAAGGTGCATATGTCTGTTCACTCTAGGCTTATGTTAATAGCAATGCAATCCTAATAAATATCCTAACAAACTTTTATACATGTAGACAAACTAAATCTGAAATTTAGAGCCATTCAAGAGACTTAAGTTTAAGCAGAACAATTTTGAAAAATAAGCGTAACGTTGTAAGACTTGACGGTGCTCAAAGTTCAGTATTAAGTATAATAATGAAGATCATGTGGTAGTATTGGCATCAAGACAGACAGGCTGATCAATGAAATACAATCATCCCAAAATATGATCATGATATCCATGATCAACTGGCTTTCACCACAGACGCTAATGCAATCATAGATACAAAGGATAGTATTTCCAATATAAACAACTCAAAATGGATCCTATCCCCAAATTCACAATTGAACACTATTAACACTTCTGAAAGACCCATAGCTAGTTCTTAAAACCTTGGGTTGAATGAAGAGTTCCTAGATATGATAGCAAACACATTATGCATCAACAAAATAATACATGGTACTTCATTAAAATTGAAAAACTTTAATTTTTAAAATGTTGTTATGAGAAGGAAAATCTCAGATATGAATTATAAATAAAAGTTGTCTATAATCCACATATTTGATAATTTGTTCTCATTGTATTTCTCAATAAAATAATATAAATATGTATGAGTGAAAATTTTTAAAAGATATTTCATTGAGGACCATTTATGAATAGCAAATGATTCCATACAAAAAATGCTGAATTATGACTAATTTTTTTAGAGAGAAATGCAAGCTAAAACCATTCTGACATATGACACTTTATATAAAAGAACATTGATGGTCAACCACATTTTGGTGAGCATGTACAGCAACTATATCTTTGTTGAGAATGTTAAATAATACAAACTACTTGAGCAAATAGTTTGTAAGTTTTCTCTCTCTCTCTCTCTCTCTCTCTCTCTCTCTCTCTCTCTCTCTCTCTCTCTCTCTCTCTCTCTCTCTGATATAGTGTCTCGCTGTGTAGCTCCTACTGGCCTGGAACTTACTATGGAGAACAGGTTGGACTTAGACTCACAGAGATCCTCCTACCTTTGCCTCCCCTACTGAGTGCTAGAATTAAATGTACATGCCACCATAAGAAGCTTGGCTGTTTCTTAAATATTATACCTGCACCTCCCATATAACCAAGATCCTATGTAGCTAGTCAAGAAAATGAAAGCATTAGTAAAAAATATGTGAAAATGAGTGTTCTTAAACTTTATTTATAGTGACCAAACCTTGACAATATTGCAAATATACATAAGATTATGAATGGATAAACAAATTATATTATGTCTATATAATGATGTATTAAGTAGAAACAAAAGAAACTATTGATATATAGTATAATGCAATGTATATATTATAATGTAATACATAAAGTATAATGTAAATCTAAAAATATTTTCAGTGAATGATAGGAATAATACAGAAATGGATACATTATTCCATAACAAATTAATTATGAAACAAATCAGTAGTTGCCTGAGAGTGGGTGTAAGTGGCTAGAACTGAACATGGAGTAGATGGATAACAAGGTTACAAAGCTCAGGATACATCCCAGAAGTAGGGTCCTCTGTAAGAGCCAGAGGACCACGAAGTCTGCTGTGAGATTGTGTCTTCTAGCTATGACAGGCAAGCTAAACAATGAAATCTCAACAATTTGGATACCTTAACAAGACCTAAAAATTCCAACAGGAGTTGACAGCCCAATGTAGAAAGAGAAAATATCATGAGGCCACACCCTTAGATGGAGAGCTACAACCAATTACAACTGCTGAGAAAGGGAGAATCAGTTATCCCGGGATAGTCCCTGACTGGTTATCTAACACCGAGTGGTCAGGCCTAGAAACACATGCAGGGGTCCCTGATGGACTCAGCAGACTGTATTTCTATTAGGCCCGTTTATATGTATATGTAGCAACTATGGTTAGAGATGAGGGAAGGGGGCTCTGGTGGACATAGGAGCAGTAGTGGGGGGCAGAAGGAAGGGGAAATGATGAAACCATATTTTAATTTTTAAAAATTCTTTAAATAAAAAAGGGATGTTACAAAGTTTCCAGAGAAAATTTGCAGGTGTGGTGGTTATGTTCTGTGTCTTAACTATGCAGATGGCATTATGGGTACATGCGTGTTTTAGAACTTACTGAACTGTACATTCAGGTATTCCTATTCTATTCAACTATTTAGTATTCTATTTAGATCCCCCACCCTCCTCACCTGACTCCTCTTATGCCTTCCTCACTCACTCCCATATTCAGGACTTCTTTAATTGTTCCACCACATGTATAAATACAACCTGCTGAAGCTATTCAGTGGTGCTTGAATGTATATGCATTTAGGGCATCCTGGGGGCATTTGATTCACATCTGAGCATATGGTTAATCAGACATCTGGTTTGAAGAATTGTTCAGTGTGAAGCTTCCTTTGGGGTTGCCACACTGTGTACATTAGAAAGAAATAGGGGGATAAGGCCCACGCTGTGGAGCTTTAGAAAGAAGTGGGGGGATAAGGGCCACACTTTAGACCTTTGTCTCTCAACTCTGTCCTGAAGGTTGATGCTGAGTCCTTCAATTTGTACTTGAAACTTGTGGGAGGAATTGTTTGAACCACGAGACAGACAGGACTGTTGGATAACACTGATGGGATGAGATACTGACGCAGCTTCTGGTGAGACACGGGGTAGTTACAGCCGTTAGTCTGTAGCTTTCACCCTTGGTTTTGTGAATGGGGACCTTCAACTGTCTTTGCCTGGTAAGACTGGCAGTGGTGGAGGACACAGCTTGGAGATGTTAGCATTGTGGGATAGCACTTTGGGAGCTGGGGGTGAATAAGGCTGGAGACAATGAGAATCACCTCAGACACTCCAAACCAAGTATGGCCTGCTCAGATCCAAACTCCCACACCTGGCACTGGAGCTGTCAGCAAAGATGTTCACCAAATACTGAGTATACACTTTATGTTGTACAGTGAAACCGCCTTGCCAATCTGGCAGCATAGGATTTTAATTCTTTCATGTGGCAAAAATGATGTCTTTTGGAGACAGGTATGGAAGGCTGGCCTCAAGTTTTCTATGTAGCTGAAGGTGACCTTGAACTTCTGAGGCCCCTGCCCTGCACCTCCCATATGCTAGGATGGCAGGTAGGCACGATCATGCTTGGTTTTATAGGGTGCTTAGGGTTGAACTCAAACAAACCCTCTACCAACTGAGCTGCATCCTCAGCCCCACGATGACGCCTTCATGGAGAAGAGAACCTGCCGCAAAACAAGATGCTGCTGGTTCTGTGGTGCCAGATGAAGAAAAGGAAGGGGTGGTCCGCACAAAACCTCGGCTCTACTCTGCAGCACCGGGCATTCCTGATCACGGCAGTGGTCGCTGCCGCTTCTGTGCCCTCCTCATTGACCTCCACAAAGCACTTGTGGGCAACCTTGGACACGGGCACGTTCTTCTTAGTTGTCATTCCAGAAAAGTCAGCCTTGGTTTCCTCAAAGGCATCTGTCATTCCCAAACTCTGAAGGAAAGGTTCCAGGTCATAACTCTCCTCCAGCTTTAATCTGGGGAAGAAGACTTGAACTTTACTTTCTGTCATGGTTTCCGGGTTTGCCCAGGCCCTGAACTTCTCATACGTCAGTGCCTTTTCTACCTGGAATGACAAAAGATCAAACTTTTACAGTGAGGAGGACAGGAGGCTAGTGCCACCCGCATTTCCTCACCCTTTACCTAGTGAGGAGTGACAGCTGCTTGAGTTTGCTTCTATTCCTAGACTAAGTTTCTTCTCATGTGGCCATGATAGTTCTCATTCTTGACTCATGCCAACAGCTTTCTGATTACATAGAAAAAGCAAAGAAATCAAGTGGCCTTGCCATGGACCCTGTGCACCAGCATGGAGCAGCCTGCTCATGTTGATTTGAAGCGCTTAGTGACCTAAAGTCAACTATGCTAGACAGGTGCTTCCCCAACTAAGAGCTGGCTTACCAGAACACTACCAGTATACACCTTCTACTTTGTAAGTCTCTCCGTCCACAGACTTTGTTCCTTTTCTGTCATGAGGAAGATTAAAGGTAAACCCAGACCCGTACTTTAGACCCTGTATTCAAAGTGTGTTCCAGGGGCAACGGCACTCGCTTCATCTGAAGTTTTGTTAGAAATGCAAAATCTCAAGCTGAATTAGGACCAGCATTTCTTAAAATATTCCCCATGGGGTTCATATGCACGTTAACACGTGGGAAACATTGCCACAATCCAATGCTATCCTTCTTCCAGGATCTTTGTTCAAGAATTATTGGGTTATCAACCAACCTCACCCTCCTGAGTTAAAAATGTTGTTATATTTTTGGAACGTTTTCATCCTGGCTTCATCAAAACTTGTGTACTCCTAGATAAACACTTAAAAGGAATTCATACACGTGTTTGCTGAAATGAAATAATCGGCACATGTTAGCTGAGAGATGTTAGCCTTAGTAAATGAGCTCAGCTGGCCTCCACAGACACTCAGTGCCCAGGACTCACCACAGCCAGGTCAGTGTTTTCATCAGGAAGCAGAACGACCATGCACAGCTCCTCCTCTGCGTAGGGCAAAACCAGGACCTGCATGTTCATCTCATCCACGTTCCCCATCTTAAATTTAGCATGCTTGAACATCATCTGCACTGTTTTTTTCTCCTAGTGAAAATAAAATTAAAATTAGATTTCCAAAACAATAAATATAATTTACTAAAAACAAGCTATATCCAACTTGTGGGATTCAGAAAAGTATAAGATGATCATAATTTCTCTGCACGTAGTCTGTTAAATGTAAAATCTTCATTAGCACATTGTAGTATCAAGTGGGCTGCTGTTCCTTGGATGGGGTGTCACTAGGTATGAAAGAACACTTTGATAAATGGAACAGAACATAAAACTGGGCATTACTTTTGAAGAAATTGTGTTGTTTTTGAGAAAACTCATAATGAAGCATTTCCATGGACTTTGGCGACATTGTTTCCAGATTACGAAGGGCATTCACTGACATTCAGTCCTTGCACTGAAAGGTCTCATTTAGAAGGACAAATCAAAGAGAATACACATGTGTTCTGCAGCATTGCCCCGTTGTGGAGTTGGTTTTATATCTTTTCTTTCCTTGGGAGGGGATCATGACATGGGCTGTTCAGTCAGGCAGTTTTAAAGTTGTACCAAATACATTTTACAATACCATCTTTGTGTAGCCCGACATTTTTAAATTGATGTAAGTCAAATTCCATTTCATATTTAAAGGGAATGTATAAAATCATATGTAAAATTAGCTGAACATCTGCTAACATGTTTCCTTTCATTAAAGATTCTATTCTCTTGCACTCTGAAGCATAACTACCATCAACATGGCAAAGATAGCTAAGCAACTCCAGTCATAGCACAGCATCCACACAATGACAGGGTCTTCCTGCAGCCCAGGCCATTTGCCTGGGGAGCCAAGATTGAATGGACCAAGGATGAGAAAAGAAAGAAACAAACTCCAGTATACACATTGTTCTAGTTTTTCTTCCTACCTCTACTTAAAGATATAGAAGAGGCAGATTAAGAGTCAAGACAGTGTAAAATAAACTGTTCCTTTTCTCATTCACCATCTTTTCCAGTTTACTACTTTAAGAAAATAACAATACATTGGAAAACACTGCTCTACCTGGTTAGTTTTAAAAGGCATGCCTCTTGTGTACTTTCTGTCAAACTGAGCCTTCCACTTCCCTTTGAAATACATGGCATTCACGAGAACCAGCTTAGTCAGTGGGCAGACTGTTCCAGGACTTAGAACTTCTGAAATTTTACCTGTAGAGAATGAAAAAAAAATTAAAAGAAGACAGTAAGAGGAGTCTATAGTGATTTGGGGATGGGGGTGGCTATAAGCATTCTCCTATAATCAGTTGTCTTGACACGCAACATTAAAAGCCCAGACTGGGTGGAGAATTAGGCTGCAGTCCTGTCCAATGCATCACTTGTTTCTAAACAATAACCACGTTCTCTGCTCCGCATAAGACAGTCTTTGGGGCAGCATAGACTGGTCTCAACCTGCTCCATAGCAGAACCTGTCCTCAGACCCACAACCTTCCTCCTCCAGCCATGCCATATGCAGAGAGAAGTGTGAAATCAGGTAAGGCTGCTTGGCTTATCCTTGAGCTTGTGTGTGTAGCAGTTCAGGATGGGAGCATTTCCCCAGACTTCTGCCAGGTTCACAGAGGTAGCAGTTGGCTACACTAAGAACACAACCACTAACAATGCCCTCTTAAGTTTAGCACTACAAGATCTCATTTACACGACTATGGACATTTTACCTGGGATCACTTCTTGGTTGGGGGACAGCTCTATTGTTCATGGTATGGTATTCAGCTAGTGATACCTTCCTCAATTTCAACAGGCAAAAATACTCTCAGCCACTGTCAAGTGACAGTTGGAACATAAAACTAGTCCTAGTTAAGGATCACTGTGCTGTGGGATAGTCTGTATGTCAAATGTGTTGCTGATTGGTCAATGAATAAATCACTGATTGGTCAGTGGCCAGGCAGGAAGTATAGGCGGGACTAACAGAGAGGAGAATTGAGAGAACAGGAAGCTGGGGGAGAGGGACACTGCCAGCTGCCATCAGGACAAGGAAGATGTAAAGTACCGGTAAGCCACAAGCCACGTGGCAAAGTAAAGATTAATAGAAATGGTCTGAATATAAGAGTGAGAGCTAGACAATGATAGGCCTGAGCTAATGGCCAAGCATTTAAATAATGTAAGAGTCTGTGTGTTTATTTTATAAGTGGGCTCCTGGACTGGCGGGACTTGGTGGTGGGAGCTGGAGAAAAATTCTCCAGCTACATCACTGCTTAGTACTAATCTCCAAATCAGATTTATATAATCAGAGGCTTCCAAAAAATCAGAAATATAGACTGTAGTGGGGGAAGGAAGGAAAACTACCAAAAGAAATAAACTGGACGAAGAAATTATAGAAGCAGGATAAAAGGCCCAAGTCCAGTTGTCCAATGAATGAGATAAGATGATCTCCAAGATACTCTTCAGCTCTAATATTCTGGGAAAACTAACAAGCGGTCAGCCTACACGGAGGAAGAATGTGAAGAGATAGAGAAGTGATGGTGCATGAAGGGCAAGATTCAAAGAACCCCTTCACTGACTGACTGCTCTTTCATCAATGGGAATCCAAGAGCCCACTAGGCAGATGCTGTATGAAACATGGGAGGCTCTCCCTTCCTGGGATTATGGTCTGATTGGTGTTTAGTATGATCAAGGGCATGGCTGCTAACTCATTCACCCATGATGAGTGTATCATATAAATTAAATGTACTAAATAATGGGTTCTAAATTGTCACATGAACAAGTAAATGACTTTTAATTCCTCCACATCTTAGAAGTTTCTAAGTTTCTTGTTTGTTATTTAGGGTGCCCTCTTTTGCTCTATATTCAAGTCAAGGACAGGCTAAAATATTGCATGAGGATAGGAAGAAATCAGGTCTATGAACATTGCTATCCCAATAGTAACAAGACATCTAGACTCTAGAGCAAATTGGCAAAAGGTTCATCTTCTGAGACAACTGGGACCACCATGGTCACATTAGGAGGAGGGTGAGGCCACCATGGCCACATTAGGAGGAGGGTGAGGCCACCATGGCCACATTAGGAGGAGGGTGAGGCCACCATGGCCACATTAGGAGGAGGGTGAGGCCACCATGGCCACATTAGGAGGAGGGTGAGGCCACCATGGCCACATTAGGAGGAGGGTGAGGCCACCATGGCCACATTAGGAGGGTGAGGCCACCATGGCCACATTAGGAGGAGGGTGAGGCCACCATGGCCACATTAGGAGGAGGGTGAGGCCACCATGGTCACATTAGGAGGAGGGTGAGGCCACCATGGTCACATTAGGAGGAGGGTGAGGCCACCATGGCCACATTAGGAGGAGGGTGAGGGCTGCAAGTGAACTGATGAAATGCTCAGATTCCCACATGTGGGGAGTGGGCCAACTCCAACTGATACACTGTCTAAACTCCATCCCAAAAGAAGATCCTTCTGCTTCAGAGAACAGCAGGATTTCCTCTGACAGGACATTACTAGGGACCCCAAAGAAATCATTTTCCGGGGACTTTCCAGCACAGTTCAAAGGGAAGCAGCCTGAGGCTCAACATTAGGTTACCTTTTAAATTTATGATCTGATAGTCCCAAGCAAAGCCCAGCAAACACACCACCACAGCTCTGAGAACTGGGCCACAGGAGCAACACCACGGGGGACCCAGCCCAGCCCTCCACAGACCTCCCTGTCCCTCCTAACTCCAAAGTCATCTAAATTAAAACCTCCTACCTTCAGTCTTTTCCATCACCCAGTCATTGATGTGTTTCCTGGATTCTTCAGTGTCCTTAGCAAAGGACAGCTCTTCTAGCCCTGCCTGATAGAACTTCTGGCAGGATTCCTTGAAGGTCTACAGACACAAACAGAGGTTGGACACTATTCAGCAAAGTTTCTCACAACTGAGGAAACAAGTATTTTCTCTTAACATGTTCCCTATCATAAAGGTCTATGGAGGTAATGATGTATTTCAAGATGTATTCACGTTAATTGTCAAAAAGGTGTGGGCCCCCTATACTGCCCAGTGCTGAGAGAGATGCTGGAAGTCAGGTGAAAATATACACCTGACTGGGTGGCCCATAGCCTATGAAGAAGGATGCCCTGTACACAAAGACACTTATAACAGGTTAGTACTGTGGTTATCTATGTACAAAGCACAGAAATGTCTCTTCCAAACATGCTGGGTTGACTTTGTTCAGTTTTCTGTTTCCCCACCCAGTAGGCACTCACTCTTTTACTCATTAGATTGTCAAGAGCTAAAATGTCAAGTTAAAAGTAGATAAGGAAGTAAACAGAATGTTTATGTTTGGAACACAAGGATTGGGTGGTTCTCAAACCCTTTAGCAAATCTCTATCTCCAATATTATTTACATTATGATTCATAACAGTAACACAATTACAGTTATGGAGTAGCAATGAAAATAATTTTGTGGTTGAGGGTCACCACAACATGAGGAACTGTATGAAAGTGTCACAGCATTAGGAAGGTTGAGAATCAACCATTGGAGAATAGGGAATAAAGAAAGGTCTGCAGAAGTGGCAGAAGACATTGGGCATCATGAATCTTCACAAACTATATGGATATGAATGAATGTATTTGTATATGTGAGCCTGTCTATATGTTTGTTTATATCAGCAAAGTAAAAAGTGAAAGTTGAAGTTAAATTAGGAGATTACCTAACACAGTAGAACCCAGATAACTTCCCCTAAAACGTCGTGTTTTCAGATATGTGTATGTAGTGACTAACTCCACTCTCTGCCCAATACCTATTCTAAAATAGTTTAGGGGCCATGGACACTAGAAAGGTGGAATGCAAGTCATTGCTCCACCAACACTGAAAGATAAAGCTGATGTTCCAAGTGGACATGAATTCACTGGAAGAATCCTGGCATCCAGAATGCTCTCCAGGGGTAGATCAGCCCAAAGCAGGGAGCTGCCAGGCACAACGTTGACCACAGCCAGGACAGGCATGCTCCGGGTCTGGTGGGAGAGTCCTCAGAGCGTCCAGCCAGCACAACAGTCAAGTTTGCACCCCTCTTTCCACTAACTTCGCGTTGCCGACGTCCCGCACAGTACGTGGCATGACTGCCAGACCTCACTCACTAGAGCAAGCTGTGGGAAGGAAGGAAGTTTGGCATTGTGTGCTCAAGCATGAAGACACTTTTATCTTAGAAAGGCGATTTTTCCAGTGGTTGGATTTGTGAGACAGGAAATGGCCGATGCAGGCACAAAAAAGACCTATTAAACGCAATCTATAATAATGTGGAAGGCACAGTCCACAGAATCCTTTCAACAGTGGTGATTCGGGAGATAGAGTAGACCTCAGAGACCTTGAGAGGTTGTCTCAGCAACACTCAGCCCCCATAGCAGAGGTTGGATGGGAGGGGATCTATATAACATGGCGGATGCTGTGGTCACTCAAGAGTAGGGGAGGAAGGGTGAGGATGTCTATCTGGGTGCAAGAGGATAATATATTGACTTTGACTTCACATAGAGATTTGTCAGGAAAAGAACTTGAGAGGACATAATTAAAAAGCAATCCTAAAATTCACAATTATAATGTCAAAAATATAATTCTAAGTACACTTCTATGGTGAAAGAGTTAGATTTCATCTCTTGCTCTTCTTCAATTTTGTCTTTTTTTTAAATCTTTCTTCAACTTCTTTTCTTCAGTGTCTGAGTACTACATACCGAAAGGAATTCACATGATTCTTCTCCGAAGAGTCGGCAGGCACTTTTTAGCAAGTACTGAGTGCCAGTTTTGTTAACTTCAGTGAGAAGGGTCTGGAAACCTTGATGAACATCTCCACCTCTGTTCAAACCAAGTACCTAGGGGTAGAATAAATAAACAGACTGTTCAACATGGTCATTATCTCCCCTTCTGCATACAAGACCAGCTAAGGGGGAAAATGTGAAATGTTCCTGTAGTATGAGGAGTCCGATGTGACTGTCTCAACAGGGTTTTCAAACCAGCATGCTTGCCATCTGAAGCTGTGCCGGGCTGCCCAGTGCTCTGGAGGACGTTCGCAGCGTTTGTGGCCTCTGCCCACTAGATGTCAGTAGCTCTCTGCTGTGAGAACTAAACCACTGAGCCCTTAGAAGTGTCTCTGGGGAAGCAAAAGGAGCTCCTTGAGTGAGAGTCATTGGTCTGAAGGATTCATCCATCCTAGAAGAGTGTCATGTGGCAACATAACAATTAGATAGCAGGAGCGAATCTAATAACCAGGGAACACAAGAATAAAACAATGGGAATGAAAAGGAAGAAGCTTTCAAAACTGTTTGGTTTTTCCAAACCAGATCATGATTTACATCAAAGTGAGAGTTAAGGTTTCCCTTCTGTCTCTGACCAAGTCTCACTCCCAAGGTTTCTTCCCCAGTGAGTTCAGTGAGCCGATCTCAGCTGTGGTCCCTGGATGCACTGCAAGAGATCATCCATACACTCTCATGCTAGTGGCAAAGTGATATCTACATGGCAGTTTATGTGATGCTTTCCCATGTGGCTGAAAATATGCCTCTGAAATATCACTATTATCTCATTTGTAGATAAAGATGTAGACAACTATTTGAGATCCAGCAGATTATATGTTCCCTCTAAATTATTCCCAAATAATTCCATACTTATGCTCATTTTTGTCAACTTATGTATAATCATACCTGAGAAGTCATCCATTCCACAGAAGATTACTTACACAGCTGCATTTCTCTTTAAAACATAACACTACAAAAGCTGGTAACAAAGTTGGGGTGCATCCTGCTCCATTGTGTAGGTTTGTCTGCAAGATGTGAATTTACTAGAATGTTTGATGACTTTTATGTAGATAAAGTAATTTAACATTCAATGTTTCATGTAAACTATAGAGATGACTGGTCCCACATGATTGCCTACCTCCTGTACTCACCCACATCAGGATCACCACAGTGTCTCTCCTCCACCCATCAGCCACACTGACTTCCATCCATGAGCTGAGGATACAGACTGAACCCCTGCTGTAGGGAGCCGAAACCAACCCGCTGTTTTCCTCCCCTTTACCCCTCCCCACAACTGCTAGCAAGCATACCTGGGACATCTGGGCTGCAGTGTTTCCCTTGGCTCCCAGGTAGACCATAGCCAGTGCAGAGGAGACACTCAGAGGACAGAAAAACAGGTTGCGTGTCTTGTCTTCTTCACCCAATACTTTCAATAGACTGATGGCAAAAGAGCCATTGGCTTCACAGAGGTCATCCATCTGAGAGGATCTAGATTGAAGACACAGCACAAAGGCACATCAACAGAGGCCTTCTGTAGTCACATAGTCACCAGGGCCTCCATCAGAGGACACTAGGCATACCAGACAGAATATCTGTACCTCAAAAGATACTCAGTCCAACACCTAAGCCCTGTAAATATGTTGTTTTATTATCTTACTTAGCAATGAGTACCTTACTGGTGGTATTTAATTAAAGATTTTAGACATGGACACTGACCTACAGTATCAAGGAAAGTGTAATGAACTTGGAAAGGTTCTTAGAGGATAGAGAAGCAGGAAGGTTCGGGGTAAGAAACGGAGATGCAGGCAGAAGTCTCTGTGATGCCAGGCCACCAATGTGGCCACCTCAAGAAGCTGGAAAGGGAAAACAAACCCAAGATTCCCCTGGGGGCTTGCTGAGAGCAGGGTACCAGGCTCCGTTGCTCCACTGTTGGATTGGACCTCTAGAACCTGGAGATAATGAATTTATATCCTTTCCTGTCACTAAGTCTGGGGAAAAACTGAAGGGTTAATGACCTGAGAGCCTCGGGTGGACTGAGAAGCTCTGAACAGGAAAGCTGACTTGACTGAGCATACCTGTGGAAGAGACTGCTAAGGAGATCCACACACCAAACCTGGTAGCATCACCACTTCCAGACTACAGGGGAGGTAACCTGCAGATGGAATCTTCCATCACTGAAGTCTTCTCTTTTCCATCCGGTAAAACTCCAAGACCCTCATGCCCCATGTACAGTCTCACTTCTGCAGAGAGACTGTGGCTTTCAGCTGTTCTGATTAGAGAACAGTTCTGCTCCTGAAGATGCCCATCTTCTTCCATTTTCCACATTGCCTATATCAATCCTTGTCTATCAAAAATAGTACAGAACCAATATGGAATCAAAATCAAATATCCCCCCTGTATATATACAAATGTAACCAAATCGTGGCCTATGAACATAGGACTCTGAAACAGGGGCTTAGACAGCCTCCAAAACTTGCTTAGTTCTCCCTCAAACAGTAAGTCCCTCCATCAAGGAGCCTATAGGGTACTCTGCCAGTCACTGTTCTCAGCATCACCTGTTTAACCCCAATAAAGGATACAGTGAGGTCAATAAAGACATTGTCTCAAGGAGGGAGGGACTGGAAGGCTGAGCAGGATGTAGATGGCCCTTGCAGAGCTCCATGGAGTCATTGGTGACTGGAACCCCTGGATTCTATAGCCTGTCATCCCTAGTCATCACACACACAAGCAACACAAAACATAATATTGCTATTTTTCTTCCAGTAAGATATCTCTAATATAATTATTAAAGAATGTTCTAAGAATCATAACTAACTTTCTGCAAATACAGAGTGCATGTCTGTCACCAGCAAAAACTGGGAGGATAAAATTCCCCTGGTTTTGGAGGCTGTATTGAGGATGGTCTAGCCTGAAATGTAGACTGTTGAAGATGAAAAATTTATGTGAATCAGTGTGACTCCAGAAAGATACAACATTTTACACAAGATCTACTGAGACTGCTGTAGGAACCTACAAAGAGGGTGTGTGTGTGTGTGTGTGTGTGTGTGTGTGTGTGTGTGTGTGTGTATCTCTGTGTGTTTAGTACACATGAAACCCAAACCTAGAAGCACTGACTTTGGATCTGTCTTGGCCAGGACACCTTTAACCTTTCCCTCAGCTTTACTAAACAGTAATAAAGCTAAAGTTGACTAAATTAACAAATGAAACAGACTTGCTCCTGCATAAAGCCCTGACTTCCTTCTTCCCAAAGTTTTCACTTTAGAAAACTTGTAATTGTTAATTAGGCTCTTCGCCCCTTTGAAATGTAAATTTTGTTAACTGCCTCCAGCCAATTTTATACCCTCACACCCTCAAGAATCCCAAAGCCATCTACTGAAATGTGGTACCCAGGTGAGCCCTATTAACCTGGTTCTGGAAATAGCAATGCCTCAGTCTAGGTCTGGCCAGGCAGCACAGTCCTGTTGTCCTGGTTACTCAGGAAACTGAGGCAAGCATAATGATCACAAGTTCAATGACAGTCTGGGCTACAGACTAAGTTCAATACCAACCAAGATGATTCAGAGAGATGCTGCCTGAAAATAGTAAGTACAGAGAGGGTTTGACTGGCCAAGGCCTCCCCCCCAGTGCACCCAGCACCACAGGTAAACACAAACTAAGAGAATAGTCCAACTTAAGCGTGAATTTTGCTTCAAGTGATAAAAAGTAATATTACTTATTATAAATGTTATGATCACTATAGCATTATTATGATTGTGATTAATCCTTCATTATTGATTAATCATTATGTTTGTAAGAGACTGTCATGATCATTAGTAGTAGTTGCAGTTATTAGTTAATGTAATCTTAAATTATTGTGTCTTTCAAAATAATTTTATATTTATTTATGTTTATTTCTATTAAACTTTATAGAAACCTTGGTTATTAATTCTTAGATTATTTAGAGTTCACCGAATTAGTCACTGCCCACAATTCTATGGCTCTACAAGTATGTTATCTTTTCTGTCATATGCACACGTAATTTTAACTGGAACTTTTAAACTCTACAAGAAGAGTACGTCCTAATTTGAAAAATTAAAAAGGAACAGTATGGAAAATACTAGAAACTTTACCTAGAGCTGAATTGTCTTGCACATGTTCATTTCCCTGTGTAGACAGATCATAAACTCAAAACGCTGCATGCAAAAGCTTTGCAATCATACTTTACTGGGGTCCAAGGACTTGAATGTCACCTGCATCTCTCAGATGCAGGAAAAAGTGGGGAGCTGATGGCTCAGACTGGGGGATTTTCTCCATTATTAAAGGCTTTGTTTGAACTTCCCCCCAAGGCAGTTTTTAAGAGAAGATATCTGTCACCATATCCTAAAACCTCTTCAGGACTTGGCATCAAAGAGTGCAGCTATCAGGTGACATGTTCTGTTGTGGGCAAGCTCCAGTAGAGCAGGATCAAACTTGTCTCCAGGTAATGTCTGTCCCTATAACTCACCTTACACTTCATTCAGAAAACAGAGGCCTAAACAAATTTCATTAACCAGAAGGTGGCATCAGAGAAGCTGGAGGAAGAAGAAAATAGAGTCTGACAAAAACATAACTAAATTCTGATTTGATCCTACCTTAGGATAAAATCTTAGGGTGTGTGCACGTGTGTGGGGTGGGGTGGGGTGCGGGGGTGTTTTCACCTTGTCTGAACAGGCAACAGAATGAATAATCTACTGCATGAAATACAACTTTACATGTAATTGCTCCTAATTGCAAGCTCCTAATCCTGGCTTCTTCTTCTTTTTTTTTTTTTTTTTTTTGGTTTTTCGAGACAGGGTTTCTCTGTGTAGCTTTGTGCCTTTCCTGGAACTTGCTTTGTAGACCAGGCTGGCCTCAAACTCACAGAGATCCACCTGCCTCTGCCTCCTGAGTGCTGGGATTAAAGGCGTGCACCACCACTGCCCGGCCAATTCTGGCTTCTTTCATGCCTCCTTCCTTCATCTCACTTCCTTCTCCCACTCCTCTTGAGCACCCAGGTGACAGTCAGTAGCATACCACAGCTTATCAACAGCATACTGACCACATGATCACACACACACACACACACACACAGACACAGACACAGACACTCACACTGACACACAAACACACTCACATGCACACACATTCACACACAAATACACTCACATACACTCACTCACATACATAAACATACACATTCACACACATAAACACACACACACACTCACACACATAAACACACACACACACACACACACACACACACACACACACCCACACACCCCTGTAAAGCATGATCTTACTACAACAGTTAATCTGGGACAGGAACTAGGTGATAAAATGACTCTGTCCTTGTTTTCTTGTCTCAATCTCAGTTACACACAGAAGCTTTTGAGAAAGTTGGAATGTCAAGCAAAATGGGCCTTGCCCAATAAATCTAAAGTGAAATTATTTTCAGTAAAATACTAAATAATAGCTTTAGGGTTCATTCTACAACTAGACTATTCATCCAATAAAATGAATTAGCATATAGCTAATTTTCATTTTTTACAAGTGAAGAAATAAGGACAATGACAATTAAATACTGTCCAGAGGACTCACAGGAAAAGTGACATTCTGAAAATCACGCCTTCCGCTCCTGAGTGTGTGACACCATTCTTCTGCTGGGAGCATGGAACACTCCTTTTCTCCACATGTCTCCCAAATGAAAGCATTCAGAGAGCATTTGTGTTGTGCTCTCTTTTCACATTGTCAGAACATGGTCAACAAATGACAGATGGTGAACAACGTCCTGGGGAACTGTGAGAGAGGCTCCAGAAAAAGGGCCTTTTACCTCCAGTGCATTTTCCCCCTGGATTATTCTTGGACATGATTTCCTGGCTCCTGTGTTAACATTTACATTCAATTTATAGGGCATGCTACTTCTTGTCGGATGTCAGAACATCGCTATAGAACCCAATCTGATCAGTGTGCCCTGGATCTGGAAATGGCTTCTGCCTTGCTTCCATGTTTTCTCAGATATAATCTATAGTATATGCCAGGCAATTGTGTTTAAAGTGGTCTGTCCTGAGAAAGGTCTGTTAATATTTAGTATGTGCTTACTGGCATTAGTTTACATGTTTATCTGATCATGTTTTTCTGAACTCAAACAACCTCCCTTGGATCATTGCTTCCTTTGTTACATTCGTGTAAAAAGCATACTGAAACTAATGTAAAGTTGTCTGCATTAGACTGTAGTCTGCCCCATTTTTTCAAGTTCTCAGATCCCAGGTCTCACAGACACAGATCTGCACAGGTCAATGAAAGTTGACAAATGTCTGAGGAGGAGAATAGGAAAAACAATTGTTAAATCCCTGACCAGGAGCTGTATATACACCCTAAGGTAGATAGAAACACTGAAATGCCTGGTTCTCTGTAGCAGATAATCTGTCAAGGATTCTGTGCCAAGGAACCCCACCAAAAGTGTAGAACCGATTTCTAATAGAATCCCGTGTACTCTCCCCAAAGAAATTGCCTCTGACAACTTGAGCAGGAATTCTGGAAGTGATACAAGGGTGTAATTTCGGTCTGAGAAATTGGCAGACACACACACACACACACACACACACACACACACACACACTGTATCATGTTGGTGTGACATTCAGGGAAGTGGAACCTGTGAGACACCAGGCAGAGATAAGATGGGTCTCTTTTGCTGAATTTGAGTCCAAACACGAGCTAGGAGCTAGAAGCCATACATAGTTTTCCAGCAAACATATTCTATGTAGATATCAGACTGTTTGGTAAGGAAAGGGGCTGGGGAGTCTGTCAGTAGGTCCCTACCATGGACCAGTGACTGTTGATATAGATGGGACCCTGACTGGAGAAGTAGGTATTGTCAGGTAGAATGACTGCTACAGATTAGGAAGGAGGGACAAGGCAAAGATTAATGTAAAGCTTCCTGCTAAATTCATGCTTAGGTCAAGAGTCCTAGGAAGTTCCTATGAAGAACTAGTTTGGAATGGGGAAGGTGATGCGTTCCATTTGAGATGTGTGAGGCATACCAGGTCATATGAGGCTGTAACATTGCAGTTTGGAAATAAAGGTAGGGCAAGAAAGAGATGAACATTCCAGAGTAAGAGTTAGAGGCCGCGGGCATCCTGACTCCAGGAAAGCCCGTGTTAATAGATGACATTTTCAAATCTTATGGACGGTGAAGGCACTCAAAAAGAAACTCGCCTAATTCTACAGTATGTCCAACATCTGAAGGCTGTAAAAGGAAGCGAGCGAGCAAGTGAGAGGGACCTCGGAAAGGGCTTATTAGGAGAAGTGGGAGGATATGCCTGTGTGCTCCACGGGACAAACAGCCCTGGGCGGTGAGGCAGTCTGCGCCTGTGGTGCACAGCTGTAGGGCAGATGCCTGAGAGCGGAGGAGTATCTGGAAAGTGGGAACTTGGCTGAAGAACAACCATGACACAGGGTGAAAGCGGGGAGGGAGGTGAAGAAGCTTTTTGTCAAGTTGACAAGAAGCACTCAATGAGCAAAAGATAAAGGGGAGGGCCGGTGGGGTGGAGAGCGCGGTGAGAGAGGGGGGGGAGAAAGGAACTGGCAGTAAGTGCGGGCCAGAGGGGACTTGTTTTTCCACCCAGCGTGGGATGAACCCAGCACTCCAAACTAGCTTGAGGCTCCACGTAAATTCCTGATTTCGTTGCAGGTCACTCCCCAGCATTGGTTTTGCACCCTCAACATTTTCCATTCGCAGGTGAAAGAGCTCCAGCACGTCCTTCCAGCTATCGAAACCCAGGGCTTGGGGTAGCAACAGCGTCAGGGCCCGCAAACCCCTGGAAGCCAGCCTGACCGTGGGAAACACGCCCACCCGGAAGCAGGCTCGGGACCCGGGGCGCGCCTGCGCTCTGCGGGCCTCGGCTCCCCGCCTGGCGGCCCAGGCTTAGACCCACGTGACCCGCGCAGCTCCCCCCCCCCCCCCCCCCCCCCCCCCCCCCCCCCAGGCCTCCTTACCTGCTGGCTCTGGCGTCTTCTGCCAGCTCCGTGCTGTTACTTCTACTTTGGTGGGATCCGGCCTTCTCCCGCCTGGCTTCTCCCTCCCCGCTCTTCGGAGCAGTGTCTGCCCCGGGAACCTGGGGATCCCAGAGCCTCTCCACAGCTCCTACCCTGGAGATTTCCTGCTGCTGAGGCTGCTGCTTCTCTTCCTTCTTTGTGGACAATTCAAGTCCGCTTTGATCCTGGGCAAACCCCCGACGGGTGACTCAGAACATAATGCACAGGCCTGAACAGTCTGTGACTCACACTATCCAGAGTGGGACCTGGGAGGAGCTGGAGCCTGGCCAAGCAGCCTCCTACAGGGGTGGAGGGCAGTCTGCTGACATCTGTACCTGGGTTTGAGGACAGAACTAGGGTTTAGTGCCCCAGGACAGTGTGGAGGGCTTCACTCCCTTACAGGACTAGTTTGTTTTCCCAGGTCAATATGTGCTGCCTTTGTGTTTTTATGTGGATGCTAGAGCAGTTATGCAGTTGGAATTTAACTTTGAAAATTAACCAAAGGCAAAAACCAGGAATTGCAACTGCTGTCAGGGCGTCCACGACTGTTTTACTTAGCAAACCTAGCTTTTGGCTTGCAGCCTCAAAATTGATCACGTGATACTGATTGTTAATCCTGTATAAATGCCACAACACACACACACACACACACACACACACACACACACACACACACACACACACATTTTTTTAAAAGACTTTAAAACTAGGAATAAACATGTTTGTACTGCAAAACTTCATGTACTTTTTTTCTGGAGAGCAGAGTGATTATGTGTTTGTGTGTGTTTTGGTTTGATGTTTTGACAGTGATTTGAAGACTTGGTTTAATTTTGATTCATTACTAATTGGATTGTTGGCCATCCTAAAGAAAAGACATCTCAGGAAATGAGCTGATTAAAATATAATACAAGCTTTCTTTATTAAATCTTTACCCTCGATTTTTAACTTGTATGCTAGCTCATCTGTTTTGATATAAAATATTCAAAATTTTAACACTTTGAAGTGCACTGGACTTCTGTTTGCAAGACCCAGTATGGAGCTTAGAAAGCCACATTTCCAAGCCTCTGAGACTTGTCTTTTCTAGCCTTCAAAGCATGTGACATCATGTTAGAGTCCAAGGATCTGGGAATAATCCACCACGTAAGACCGAGCTCAAGTAAGCCAAGAATTTATTTAGAAAAACTGATATTAGGGAGGTGGAAGGGTTGGGGCTCCAGACCACATCCCCGAGGCAGGGGCAGCAGCCAGGTTTAAAGGGAAAACCACAAAGAGCTCCAGAGTCCCATAATGTAATATGGGGAGAAGTTGTTAGGGGCTTTCCACAGTGACACACGCAGTCTATTGGGAGTTCTGTGGTTTGGTGGTTCAACTGGCTCTGGGACGACCAATCAGAAGAGGGTGGAACACTTGTGGCTTACACCTGTGTGAGGAGTTTGGGGGCTGCAGCCTAGCCTCAGGAAATTGTGGGTAGCAGCTCAGGGCAGAAAGGTAGACTGGGACAAAATGGAGTTTCTGCTGCTAGGAAGATCTAACAAGGCATATAACAAAGAATAGTATCGTGTGAAGACAGGGTAAGTTACTCACAGGATGATCACTATAGTTTCTAAGAGCAGTTCATCTCTCATTCACGGAATGAGAGAGCCTTTATCTGCCCACGGATCAATTGTACTTTTTTACAAAGGTATTCGCTAGATATTCTTCTGGAAGGCACTTCCCAAGACAGAAAACTTCAGCATACTTAAAATGTTGGCCCTTAAAAAAACAAGAACTGAACAAGGGTAACAATAGACATGCCAAAGTAGATGGGGGCTTCAACCCTACACAAAGAACTACAGGCAACTAATGAGTACTGAGTGGGAGACATAGTCTTCTCTGGGGAAGAACACACCAACTGTTGTTCAATAACAAGTAGCCCTGAAAACATACAAATGAATAACATACAGACAGAGCAGGTTACTTACGTATTTAGGCTTATATATGTATACACATATGCACATGGTAGTGATAGCAATGAATGGAAAAAGAGATCACGAATCTGAAAGAGAGCAAGGAGGGATGTATAGGAGGGTTTGGATGGACAAAAGACAAGTAATGGGAAAATGTCTAATACCTGAAAAAATAAGTAATTTTTAAAAATTGTAAATATGTGGTTACTTTCCCTTTGAAACACCCTTAAGATGTACTTTGTGACACGCCACAGTTTCCACTGCCACTACAACAACGAACAAACGTGATGGAGAGGCAGGAAAGACGGAGCAGCCAAGTGTACATGTGCAGCAGAACTGGGGACATGGCAACTCTGACTGCTACGAGAGAAGGCAGCAATTTTATAGAGGAGCAGGTTGTTGCCCAGAGGGGTCGGCGAGAAGGTTTTTCTGTCGTTGTGTTTTGTTTCTTTGGGTGAGGGAAGGATGGTATGGAAGGGATGGGAAATGAGTGGGATGGAGACACATGATATGTAATCCCCTCCCCCCCAAAAAAACAGTAAAAAATTAGTTAGCATACAAAAAATAAACATTATTATGAGCTTTGGTGTTTACCAAAATAGATAGGTAGTAATTGGGCTGCTTATTACAACACATAATCACTCCTAATCATTGCTTTTGAATCACAGCGCTAACACCCAGTGTCAGTCATCTCTCGCAATGCTTTGCTGAGAGCACACCGGAAGCTGCTCCTCAACCTTATTCATCATAAAGCAGCGCTGCTCCCTCTATACACATGCAGAGGTCCCAAGCACCGAGCTGCAGTGCAGAAACATGTCTCTTGATTCTAAAGTCTTTGTGGCTGTCATGCTCTGCTTCTAGGGAGGAACCAGAAAGGCTAAATATGCATTAAACCAAGACACAGACAGTAAGGTTCAGAGTGACAGTCATTTTGGAAGAAATGCAATCCTTGCCAATGGGATAGATATATATATATATATCCTGCCACTACTATTTAAGGGGTTATTCATCTGGAATATCATAAAGGAACTTCAGCCCTTCTTGCCTTTAAACCTGAGTAGAACAGACGGTCCCAAAGCAGGTGGTTGTGCCAGGAAGGCCTTACCCTGGAGCATGCATATCTAAACTTAACTCTTTTCCCCTTTATACAGTTATGGCCAGCTATCCCTCCTCTCTTCCTGCAATATCTTTACCTCTTTTCTTTTCTCTTCTTTTCTTTGGTTGAATTTTGCAGTTGTTTTGTTTTGAGACAGGGTTTCATTCACCCTAGGTTGCCTCAAGCTTCCTATGTTGCTGAGGATGACCATGAACTTCCTATCCTCCTACATCTGCCCTTTGAGTGCTGAGTGCTAGGATTACAGACATCTGTCACATCATTGCATTTTATGCAGTGCTGTGGACAAAACCCAGAGCTTCCTACCTGCTAGGGTACCATCATTGAGTTGTATTTCCAGCCACGACTCCCTCACTCCTGTATCTTTTGTTGGCATTCACGCATGCCTAGCCTGCCCCTTGGGACCTGACAGAATGCCTCATCCCTGTAGGGATGTGCTGGCCAGTGCACAGGCAGTACTTTGGCCTGCTTGGGGTCCTGACAACGTCATATGCACATTGCTATGTGGTCTCTGTGCACAAGGGCTGACCCCCCTTTAAAAGGCCGGGGGGGGGGGGAGGCAGGGGCTGGCCTTCTCTCTCTCTTCCCATGCAGCCACATCTGCATCTCCTTCCCTTCCCCCTTTCTACCTCTTCCTCTCTCATCCTTTCTCATCCCTCCACTCTGGGTCCCTTCTCCCCTTCCCCCAGTAAAATCCTCTACATGAATGCTGTCTGCATGGTGAGTGTGTCTCACCCTCCGTGTGACCCACTCCAACCCGCCAAGGCTGGGGCCTGCTGTTTTTAAATTATAACATCTGTAATCTCCTCACTCCTTGGGAGTCTTATCTGAAACATACTCAGTGTTTCCCCTATTAAAACAAATAAGCACTTGGTTAAAAAAATGAAAATACTAAAAGAATAACCAGACTTCCTTCCTAGTACCTTGGACCACAACTCTAAATTTTCTTCCAGAGCAGTGTTACAGTGTTTACAGTCAAGTTTCTAAAAGTGGGAAAGTATTCATTGGCTGTTGCAGTTTCCCACCTTTGCTTCACAGTTTCTGAAGATTGACTTCCACACTAGTCTTCTGTGAAAGTGCCCCTGCTGAGGTCTCCAAGCTCTTCTACTGCTGTAGCCAAAGATATGGCCCTGGTCCCCTTCATTCTGCTTATCCCTTTGTTTGAGGCCTTCTCAGAATCTCCTCCTTTCTTGACTTTTTCTCCAGATTCCTTTTACATCATTGGAAGTGCACTTTTAATCATGATGATGTCATTTTTATATGAATGTGGCTGTATTCGTAAGTTCAAGTTTCAAGTTTTTGTTTATTTCGTTGTTGAGTGTCACTATTCCTGGGGAGATATGAACGACCCTGTCCTTGCTCCAGATAGGAAACTTAGGACAGACCAAAGCACAGACACACCGAAGACACCCTGTGAACCCACGAGTTTCATTGGAAACACTTACAGAAATATTGGTGTGCTGGCTAGTTTTATGTCGACAGGACACAAGCTACAGTCACTGGAGTGAAGAGAGCTTCAGGAAAACGCCTCCAGAAGGTAAGGCTGGAGTCAAGCCTGTGGGACACTTTCTGAAGTAGTGATTGAAGGGGGAGGGGTCAGCCCATGTTGGGTAGAGCCACCCTGGTAGTCTTAGTAGCCCTGTGTTCTGTATGAGAGCCAGCTGAGGAAGTCAGTGGGAGCAAGCCAGTAGGCAGCAGCCCTCCATGGCCTCTGCATCTGCTCCTACCTCCAGGTTCCATCCCTGCTTGAGTTCCTGTCCTGACTTCCTTTAGTGACGGACACCAATGTGGATGTGTAAGCCAATAAACCCTTTCCTTCCCAACTTATTTTTGGTCATAGTGTTTCATCACAGCAGTAGTAACCCTGTCAGGACAGTGGGTGACAGATTACTCACAGGAGCAGAGGTGAGCCAGACAGCTGCATCACCAAAGCTCCGCCAATGTGGTGACAGCTCATGAAAACTGGAAACCTGGAGCACATTGCTCAATTTTCAGGCAACTCAACAGGTTCCGAAGTGTCCTTTCCAGGCGGCTCAGTTTGTAGGAGCCTTTTCCAAACAGCTTACCTGGTCTCTGCTTCCAGGTCATTCTATTTGTCTGAGAGGTCTCCCAGAAGTCCTTATTGCTTATATACTT